GAGAGAGAGAGAGAGAGAGAGAGAGATAAATACTAAATAGACATTAAAAATAATCATTAACTAATCGTTGTAATTTTTGTCTATCTGTTTTTTTGATATTGTTGTTGTTGTTGGCCCCTAATTTATTGATAACCGGTTTAAATTCGGGCTTTTTGGACTTGGACCGTTTAGCCCAAAGCCCGTTAGGTCTAGCCCAAAACCATCAGTGCTAGCCTGTTTGACATTTCTATTCATACCACCAATTGGTTTTGAAATAAAAACTCCCTATACTGCATTAAGGCTCACCCTGTTATAGTGCACTTCACGTGCATAGAACCGCACTCGTTTTCCCCAATTCTTTCAAACAAAAAACAACACATGTAAAAAACATAGTTTACGATCGGCCTTAAGATACAACTGTAGAACATACTTCCATCATATTGCAAAATCGAATTTACGAGTTATAGACCTTAAAATACAACTGTAGAACGTACTTCATCATACTACGATACCTAGTTATAGACATATAAATGTCACAATAATAATAATACAATTCAATTAAGGCAGAGCAGTCATTCAAACTTCATTGAATGAATATAGTTGGTTTAAGACAAACTTCAATTAAGGCAGAGCAGTCATTCAAAATTCATTGAATCAAAAGTGTATGATGAGTGTGATAAGGAGTTTAAGACAAACATAAATTACATCATGGAACTGAACATGATACATTTCTCAAACTTTGAAACCGAGTAAAGTCAGCCGTAGAGCTTTACCGGTTTCTTAATTTCTATCGTTGAATCACACACTAACACTAACGATACACCACACCAAAGGGAGTGCATGCATATCAGATGAAATGTGCTTATCAGATGAATTTCCTGGAAAAAATGCACCAAGAGACGGCAAAAAGATACAAAATACAAGCAATCATTCTAAAGTAATCTCCATTTTATTGATGGCGTGCTTCCATTAATAAACCCGAGCACATAATGCTAAGTAGAAACAACATAGACAAGAACAAGGCCACATAAGAAACCATAAAACCAGAACTAAGTAAATAAAACACACCACACCAAAGATAATTAATGTATATACTTACACACATAAACATTCATCACACAAACTGATCAAGGTACTCCTCCACAGTTTTGTACTTGACATCTGGATAAATTTCCGTAGCCTCAACTCCAAATGACGGCTCGATTTCAAAGTAAGTATGATCTCCCTTTACGAAAATCGAGTGGTTAATGGCCAATATTACATTAAGCGGAGCCGG